GAGTAGTTGGTCCTGTGAAGGCTTCCACAGATTCCGCTCAAGGTTAGCAAACACAATACAAAAAAGGGCAGCGCCATTTCACGTTCCGCTACTTGATGCCTTAGTGATCCAGTCCAGGTTTTTCCAACCTCCTGAGACAGATGATATTGCGTCACGTCACATGTAAACAGGAAGTCAACCCAATGAAACAGTGCTGTGAAGAAAGTGATTCAAAATCAGAACCAGTCGGGGTTTAAAACAATAGGCATGCAATTTCAAGCACAAGTCCTAAAGGCAAGAAAAAAGCACTTCCCTTTGTCGTGAGACGTTTAGACTCATAAGACTCAAACGGCGTGTCTGCGATCTGGCTCCGTTGATAGGATACAAGTTCCTCACTAACAGGGCGATCCAAGTCATCCAACACGGTAGAGAGTAAGTTTCAATTCAGTTGGATCCAAGTTCAATATATGATGGACTGGTTCCTTTATACACCATTGAATATGAATAAATGATGATTACAGAAGATGCCCAGTGTATGTTAGTCCCAGCACAGATTACTGTAAACCACCTGCAATGTTCGTCTGTCAGATTAACTATCGATTTATCGTTTAGAGACAATGACCTAGAGACAGCACTATTGAGAGACAATGACATTAATTACAAATCACACAGACAGAGCTGAAGACGAATGGAGACATGCTGCCATCTTGGATGAAGATTTTATCTTGACCCATAAATTATTAACATTAGATTTAGTTTGGCTGTTGTAACTGAGTTACAACTCCCAGATGATCTAAGAGAAAAGGTGATCAGGTGGTGTTGGTTATGGTTTGACAATCATCGCTTGACCAGAATCACAAAACTAATTTAGAGCGTTAGGTTTACCTTGTTGATTACAGCAACACTATAATTCTACAGCAAACGTTTTTCAGCACTTTCAATATAATCCAAAATATTTCGTAAAATTTGTTATGATCAAAATAGTTTAAAAAAATTATATTATTTAGACACACTGACATCAATAATCAGCCTGTGAATCTCAACAATGGTGACAATAATAAACCATGTTGAAGTGTATTATGGGCTCCACCAATCAAAACTCATTCATGGCTCCCATCATGCATTACAGTATGAATAAATTATGATCTGAATTGTCTTAGTAATTTACTTTTCCTAATTGAATATTCTGTTTGTCACCATTGTTGAGATTCATACACTGATTCCTGATGCCTGTGAGTGCCTAAAAGAAAGATTTTTTTATCAGAACAACTTTTAAGAAAGCATTTGAATTGTATCAAAAATTCTTACGCTGTAGAATCACTGTGATGCTGTAATCAACAATATACATTTAAGTCAGAGATTAAGCTCTAAATTTGTTCAGTGATTCAGGTCAACTGATGATTTTGTTAAAACATAACCAACACCATCAGATCATCTTTTCTCTTTGTTCATCTGGCAGTTATAACGCTGTTACAACAGCCAAACAAAATCTAAAGTAAAAAATGTAAGGGTTAACTGTCCAACTGAAGCAAACACTGATCTCCATAATGGTAACTTAAAATTGTGATTTTTCACCTTCAGTGATTCTACTTGTTAACATCAGGTGTCTTCAATGTTGGTCAATCATCACTCAATTAATCACTTAATTATCTCATTAACTTTAACACTGCTTCAGTGTTAATTTAACACTCTTGAGTGTGGAGTCATATAAACTCCCAGGAAAGTTAATTTAACACTTGAGTTTTTGCTGTGTAGCGTGAGGAACCTTGGTGTCATTTTTGACTTCAATTTGACCGGCAAATCAATGCTGTCGTTAAGAATATTTTTTTCCATCTTAGATCAATTTCTAAATTGAAATCTATCCTTTCTTTTGACGATATATAGAGAAGGTTGTTCATGCCTTTGTCTCATCCCGTTTGGATTATTGTAATGTGTTGTATCTGGGTGTGAGTCAGGCTTCTCTCTCCCGTTTGCAGCTCGGTCAGAACTCAGCTGCCAGACTTTTAACGGGTACTAAAAAGAGAGAGCACATTACTCCGGTTTCAATTAAATTACATTGGTTACCCATACGATACAGAATTCAATACAAAGCGTTGTTGTATGTTTTTAAGTCTATGCATGGCCTAGCACCTGAGTATGTTACTGATTTAATCAGCCGCTGTCAATCCAGTAGATCTCTGCGCTCTAATGATCAATTGCTTCTCATGTTTCCGCGATCCCGTTTAAAATGTAAAGGTGATCGGGCATTCTCTGTTGCAGCTCCTAGGCTCTGGAATGAACTTCCTCTGTCTGTAAAAACTTTTCCCTCATTGGGTGCTTTTCTGAGTGCGCTTAAAACTTACTTGTTCTCTTTAGCATTTGACAATGCTTTGTAAGTTTTTATGTCATATGTTTGCATTGTATTTATGTCTTTGTTTTTACTTTTTTCTTGCATACCTTCTGTACAGCACTTTAGTTCCACTTGTGGTTTTGAAAGTGCTCTATAAATAAAGTTGACTTGAGTTGAGTGAGTTCCATGCAAACACAAGATATACTTTCATGTATCTTTGAAACTGGACACTTTTCTTCTCTTCTTCTCTTGATATGCTTTGGCTCTTATAAGTCAGTAAAGAGAGAAATCTGTCTCATTCACTTTTACTTAATGTTTGAAAGACATTCTGTACTTTAGATGAATGTATGTGTGTGCGTCAAACCCCTGACTGTGTGTATAAATAACATATATTTCAGCAGCCATATCACCCTGTAGCCCAAGACTGGTTGCCCACTGAAGCTAAGCAGGGCTGAGCCTGGTTAGTACCTGGATGGGAGACCTCCTGAGAAAACCAGGTTGCTGCTGGAAGAGGTGTTAGTGAGGCCAGCAGGGGGCGCTCACCCTGTGGTCTGTGTGGGTCCTAACGCCCCAGTATAGTAATGGGGACACTATACTGTCAAAGAGCACCGTCCTTCGGATGAGACGTTAAACCGAGGCCCTGACTCTCTGTGGTCACAAAAAATCCCAGGATGTCTTTCGAAAGAGTAGGGGTGTAACCCTGGCATCCTGGCCAAATTTGCCCAGTGGCCTCTGTCCATCATGGCCTCCTAATCATCCCCATATATATATACCAATTGGCTTCATCACTATGTCTCCTCTCCACCAGTAAGCTGGTGTGAGGTGGGCGTTCTGGCGCAATATGGCTGCCGTCGCATCATCCAGGTGGATGCTGCACACTGGTGGTGGTTGAGGAGATTCCCCCTTCTATGTAAAGCGCTTTGAGTGCCTAGAAAAGCGCTATATAAATGTAATGAATTATTATTATTATATATGGGAAATGAAACTAGACAGATGACTAGGTTAGAACTTGTGATTAACAATGAAGTAATCGTTAAACCAAAATCTTCGGTTCGGATCGGAGATCCTCCGGCCTTGTTTATTCTTGGGAGATTCTCTGAGAACTGCTCGAGAACTCCTGGCCGTAATAAAGAGCATTAGAGGACAATTGCTGAACTCTGTCTGTCATTTAAGCTGCGCAGCAAAGTTAGTTAGTGGAACAAGTTATTTAGCGAGACACTAGAGACCTCACTACCAAGTGATAGTGTGGGGCAAGTTAAGAACACTAGAGACCTTATTACCAAGTGATAGTGTGGGGCAAGTTAAGAACACTAGAGACCTTATTACCAAGTGATAGTGTTCGATAAGGGACGAGACGTCGTTCAACTCTTAGGCGAGGTTAGATTGTGTCAACTCAAGTGTTCAGAGGTAACTCAAGAGAGTATAATATTTTCAGGTGTCAAGGGAACCAGGTTCATCCTAAGACAGGTGAGTAGTTAGGTTTAGGGAAAAATCTACAACAGGCCTCGCCGTCGTCCATTAATACCAGACAATGGACACCTCGTCGGGCATTAAACCTTACTTGATTACCTTCAATAACACATTTGCAATGGTTTGTAAAAGGTGTTTTTTATGCATGTGTGGCCTGAGTTGTTGTTGTATTTACACTATTCTGACCAGCGTGTGGCGTTTCGAACGCTTTAAAACAGTGAATCATTTTTTACAAAGCACTTGGTTCAACTGATTCGAACCTTTAAAAAGCTGAGTTTTGATGATCAAAACAAACTTAAATTAACTAGGGCTGCAAGAACTAATTGCTGAAACCGATCATGAAAATAAACAATTACTGAAGTTCACAATGTCATTTCGGGAGGAGTGAACTCGTCTAATATTTCAATGAAATGCCGGAGCACATAAGCAGTCGCTCACCTCGCTCTGGCATCAGCTGCTCTGCCGTCCCTCCACCTCCCCAGCTCCACCTGCATAATTTAGCCATCTTGCTACTATACTCATCCAAGCATTATTAGTCCAACTGGGGGGTTTATCTAAGCTCGAGTTCAAGCTGCTTCCATTCAAAAACATTTATATGGACAAAACACATCTGAAAATGAATGGTGCATGGTGAGCACACGAACCATGTTATTGGAAATTATCGGACATTTCTTTTAATTTTATTATTCATTTGTGTTTAAGTTGCTCAAATTGCTTTTGCGTCGCTTAGCCAGGCAACAGACAAGTGACCAATCCTGAGTGGCGATGTCACTATACACTAGTGATGTTACATTTGTGAATTAATCGTTCTTTTTGAACAAATCTTTAAGGTGAACGAATTGTTCTTTTAATCCATCAACTCATTTCTTGTTCACTGAAATCCTATTAGCAGCGCATGTGCACTCTTTACCTGCTTTTCTTATATTTTATTTGTGCGTTTTAGACTTAGTTTTGTGGTATTTTGCACTTTGAACAGTTTACTTGACTACTGTTGAGGAACTGTAAGCACTGGTGTTTTTGTGTTCATTTTCTATTATCAAAACTGAATTCATTATGTTTGATTCATGTCATGCACTTCTATAAAAACTGTTAGCCATGTGTGTTGAGAGTTTAGGGCAGAGAACAGTGGAAAGTGGAAAACACAACTGAAACCGAGGTTGAAAAAAAAACTTTTTTTCAAAGGTGAAAAAGCAGCTTTTGCAGATAATGATTAACTACTTACTGTGATCTCAGACTCTGGTGATGTGGTTTCTCCACTGCATGGATCTTCATGTGTCGCTTCAAGTTACTTTTAACAGTGAAACTCTTTCCACACTGATCACACGTGTGTGGCTTCTCTCCAGTGTGGATCATCTCATGTATTTTCAGATGTCCTGATCGACTGAATCTCTTGTCACAGTGTGAACACTTGTAAGGTTTTTCTCCAGTGTGAATTCTCTGGTGCAGTTTTAAATCTTTCCCTGTAATAAAAGTCTTCTCACACTCAAAGCACATGTACTCTCTCACACCAGTATGAGTTTTCTGATGTGTATATAAATATTGCAGACATGAAAAACTCTTTCCACACACAGAACATGAATGCGGCTTCTCCTTCGTATGAACTCTCAGGTGTGACTTCAGGTGTGATGTACTAAGAAATGTTTTCCCGCACTGATCACATGTGAACGGCTTCTCTCCAGTGTGGATCATCATGTGACTTCCAAGGTGTGTTGATCGGCTGAAACTATTCCCACATTGATCACATGTGAACGGCTTCTCTCTGGTGTGGATCCTCATGTGACTTTCAAGGTGTGTTGATTGGCTGAAACTATTCCCACATTGATCACATGTGAACGGCTTCTCTCCGGTGTGGATCCTCATGTGACTTTTAAGGTGTGTTGATCGGCTGAAACTCTTCCCACATTGATTGCATGTGAACGGCTTCTCTCCAGTGTGAATTCTCATGTGACATTCAAGACTTCGTTTGGATGTGAGACTCTTCCCACATTGATGGCATGTGAAGGGCTTCTCTCCAGTGTGAACTCTCATATGACGCTCAAGACTTTGTTTGCTTGAGAAATTCTTTCCACACTGATCACATGAGAACGGCTTCTCTCCAGTGTGAACTCTCATATGACGCTCAAGATCTTGTTTTGTTGAGAAACTCTTTCCACACTGAGTGCAGGTGAAAGATTTCTTTGCTCTTCTTTTCTTTAAAAAATTATTTTTAGTCTTTGGGCTAAAGGGTTTTCCTCCAGGTTTGACATGATGTTCCTCCTTCACTTCACTCAGTTCTTCTCTCTCCTCCTCCACTTCACTCAGTTCTTCTCTCTCCTCCTCCACTTCCATCGGGTCTGACATGAAAGAAAAACGAATTTTCAAAATAATCTAAATAATTCAAAGAGAGAAATATGAATGGAGATAAAAATGATCCCAGATGTAACGGACAACTGTTATAAAATATTACAATCATTTATGTATTTTTATAAATTAATTAAACGTCCCTGAAACATTCAATGAATGAGTTACACTGATCTTCCAGTTATTATTTTGTAAACATTATAGGCAAAAATTCCATGTTTCTGTAGTGAGAACTATTAAATATATTTGATCAATGACACAATTACATAACATGAAATGAACATTAAAATACACAATACTGCCATATTTTGACACCAACTTTTAGACTGATATATAGTAGTGCTGATATATCGTAATCGTGAAGCCTATGCGATTATATGACGCAAAATGCTGCGATTTTATATGAAATAAACAAATTAGGGCTGTTAACGCAATCCCGCTCTTATTTGTGCGAATGCTTTTAGCCATTCATGCGCTACAAGTCAAAAGAGAGCGCGCTGCCTGTAAATGTCCTGACTGTGACACACACGGATCCCGCACCGACACTCACAGAAAGACGCGCACCAGTATCGTGCGCACAGAAAGCAGCAGAATAGAGTTCTCTTTCGTGCTTGAACAAACAATAACACGTACAATTATGCCAAAATGTGTTTGTCGAGTACCTTCATAAAAGCAGTCTCATGATGGACGTAAAGAGTTGTGAGAGAATGATGCGCGCGTGAGATCTGTCTCTGTCAGCAGCGGCTGCTCTTAAAGGGCCAGCCGCCAATAAAGCTTCTGTCAGTAAAGTTAATAACGGAACAAAGGGAACGCCAAAGGATGAGGGTGCATGTGCGCATGTGCGTGTGTGAAGGGGTTCTTTTTTTTAGGCTATACTCTCTTGCAATTGAATGTAAATACGTTTACTTCTTAAAAACATCAAAGCTAAACATCATATCTAGTCAACCCGCATCACGACATCGCTACAAATACAGTATGGGATTAAAATCAGCGAACATCAATGTATAGGCTTAGGTTACCTTGTTTCAGCGACGCTTGGTTTTCGGTTCAGATGCTGAATCATTGAAGTCGTACTGTTGTGGTATGCCAGGTCTACTATGCAGTAGACGCATTGCACCTTGTTCTATTCCTTTTTAAGTACCGGTATGTAATGATCCCAAACTTTAGTTATTCTCTGCCGACGCCGTTTATGGACATCTTTACTCTCTGCCATCGCGCCAACTAAATTCTAAATGTATCACGCGCTATAGTATAGATCCGGATGGATTACTTTTGTGTAGGATGCATGCACATTTTGGGACTTGAAGGAGGTGGACCCCATTGCTTCACATTATATCCACTGAAGGGTCTAAGACATTTTCTAAAATAACTGGAAATGTGTTCGTCTGAAACAAGATTGACATATGCATCTCGAACGGCTTGAGGGTGAGTAATGCATGTGTTAAATATCATTTTTGGCCGAACTATCCCTTTAATGTAGTAAAATTAATATTACAATCAATTAACCTGTTTGTGCTGTTTGTACATTACAGTGCCTGGTGGTTCGAGAAAACACTCCCGGAAATAGGTTCCAAGGTGCAAACGATTATCAGTTATCTCTGTTATCTCTGCGCAAACCCGGAGCAACAGAGGACCAAGGTGGAGCAGGAGGGAGTGAGGAGCCCAACGGAGCCAGAGGGACGAAGGGACGAGGAGAAGTCAGATGAGTGTAGTCCCGAGGCAAGGGCTGGCCGACGAACGACCAAGACGGAGCCGGGGGGACGAGGGAGCCTGGCGGAGCTGGTGGACTGATGGGCCACGGTGGAGATGAGGGAGGTCTGAGCCAAGGTAGAGTTAATGGGCCGACATGGAGTCCTGGTCGCCGAGGCCGTAGGTGGACGACCATGATGGAGCTAAAGACTGGCAGACCCACGGGGACCCCACATCATTGATGGTGGAATAAGGGTGAGCTGAGGGGCTGACAGGAAGCAGTGGAGGTGTGGATGAGGAGATTATGATGGGGGTGGGAGAGGGAGGCTGGTTGGGAGTTCAGAAACAGGCTCAGGTTCTGGGACAGATTCAGACTTGGGAACAAACTCGGGCTCAGGCTCGGGAACAGATTCAGGCTCAGGAACAGATTCAGGCTCAGGAACAGATTCAGGCTCAGGAACAGATTCAGGCTCAGGAACAGATACAGGCTCATGAACGGATACAGGCTTGGGGACAGACTCAGGTTTGGGTATAGGAACAGTTCCTGGGGCAGGAACAGGTCTAGGGACAGGAACAGGCTCTAACGTGGCGGCTGCCATCCTGGCTGAGGACTCAGGCGGTGTGGCGTTGGCGGCCATCATGGGGAAGGCCGTATTAATGCTTAATGCACGGGCTTACCTGGGCTGACGCCCAGGGGCCTCCCAAGATCAGGGGCCTCCCAAGATCAGGGGCCTCCCCTGTTCAGGTTCATGATGAGCTGATAAGGTCATATTATTTTGAAACTTGTCAGGTTTTCTGTCAATCACTCTAATCACGTTACATGTCTGCTGATTGAGTGACCCCCCCCCCCCCCCCCCCCCCCCCCCCCCCCCCATAAGTCCCGTTCACACAGCCAGCGATTTTGTCACTGTATGTTGCTATAGTCTCTATACTGTGAAGTCGTTTGTGGGGGCGTTCGTGGGGCTGTCGCTCTAATGTTATTGGTAGACTGCTCGTTTGGCCACATCTATACAAAACACAATCACAAGTGATACAACTATATTATTTTTAATTTGACTAGGAATTAGGCTCAAAAGAAACAGTATGCTGTTGGGAGAGTGTTTTTGTATTACCACACAGCAGTGTTCAGTGGATTAAATAATTTACTAGATTAACGATCGATCAATCTACAAATTAAACTAACTCATACTGTCATAAATTACTAAAACGTCATCCGAATTTGACAAATAATCAATTTTCTTGTCCCTAATAGTCAACATAATGCAGGGGAAACTGTAAAATGAACTGCAGCAGTGCTAAACTTACATTTATAGTCCGAGTGTTGTAGTTTTATGATGCATGAATTAAACTCACTGAAGCCAAGTTTCCATCCACTTGTCAATCGAATTATCTGAAGTTCGGTAAAAAAACGGCTTTAAACCGAATAAAAACCTGTGCGTAATGACGTCACATGCTGTTTTGCGATCAAATTGGTATATCGAATTGATTTGAGACATTTTAGGTGTTTCCATTCATTTTCGCACTGAATCGCACAACATTCAAGCAAACATTTGCGAACAAAGTTTTGCCAGACAAAATGGATCGCGCCATCTACCAACAAATGATCAATATTGCACAAGTTATAGCCTGATAGTGCTTATGTGCCAGCTGACAGCGACATATGTAAGGGATAATGTATAGTGAGGCGGTTGTTAGCCTGAAGGGGTTGTATTCGCTATAACAACCGGCTCGCTATACATTATCCCGCTTATTACATGGCTACAACGATTGTAATGCTTCCGCTAAAGAAAATTGTCTGTTCCGTCTTTGAACTGTGTCCATGGCAACAGTGTGTTATACTTAGCAGCGGTCTGTTATAAAAAAATAACAGACCACATCCTACATTAGAATTCAACCAAGCCATGTAATAACTATGGCTATACTGTCCCAGTCGATTAGTCGATTAATTGGTCGATACGTTCTGGTTCGACCAAAATTCTGATTGGTCGATTTTTTGCCGTGTTCATCTCATCAGTTTTGCCGCGTTCACTTAATCAGTTTTGCCGCGCTCATTTCGTAGAAAGCACTAACTGCTAATGGGGGTGTTTTCAGAGTACCCTTGTTTCACAGGTAACAGTCTGTCTTTAGAACACCCCCCTTGTTTTCACCTTTTTTGGATTAGCCCAACCCAAGAGAGAACGATAAGTAGGCTATAGAAAGTTTGATGCTGAATATTATTTATTTAATTGTGAGAGCGTTTAATAGTCAGTCCTCTTCTAACATGTCAACAACAAAGAAATTGACAGTGTGGCAGCATTTTGTTAAAGGGGTCATATAATGCCATTTTTGTACAAGCTAATATGATTCTTTAGGGTCTAAATTAAAAGTTTGTAATATACTTTAATTAAAAATTCTCATTAGTATTGTAAGAAAACATTTATTTTACCTGGTCAAAAACAGCTCTGTTTTCAGCACGCCGTTTCAGTGCATATGACTTTAAATGATAATGAGCTTTGCTCACCCCGCCTCTCTGTGCTGTGCATACACCATTTGTAACTCAATAACACAATAACCATAACGCGCTGTTCAGTATAAACGTGGGATTATGAATTATATTGAGAACGTCATACATAGAAAACATGCCGTAATGTACCCTGAGTGTAAACCTTAGACTCATTCATTGTGAAGCGTGCAGCTAGCGATTTGCAAAGATTAATATATTAATATAAAGTTTTATAAAACGTTACACTCACTTCAGTTGTTCTAGAGGTTCAGCAGGAACATGAATATCTGGTGCCGATCCTTTTTTCATGAGCAGCTTCTTAGCAAATCCAGCTTTATACTGACCCTCGTTTATAAAGCAGTCTGGTGTGTGAAATGATTCGCGCAAACATGAAAGCATTGACGTTGCTCGTGGGGAATATTCCCTTCGAAAACACTCAGCCACTGCGTCTTCAGCGGTTCGGATTTAGGAACATTAAAATGACTGCTGTGTTATTGCACCCAAGAACAGAACACCACAATCGCTTAGACGCCATTCTGCTCATAGACAGTGCTCCAGCATATCAACAATGACCGCGCCGGTCCACGCCGCGCAGACTATGATTGACAGCTCCCTCATGAGCGAGGGCGGGTCTGTGTTGAAACTGTCCTGTCAATCAACAATCGTGGGAGGGGCGTGCGAGCTTGTGACGTCACAGGCTCGAACGGCTCGATTTGAGGCAGGGGAAAACATATAAGGAGATTAAAACAAAACCACTGGATGGATTTTTATTATTATATGATGGTTGTGTACAGACACTGCCAACACACATTTCAGTACA